TTTGGCAGGCAATTTGCATCAATTCGTCACTCTTGGAAATAAGAAAATGTGTTTTTAACTTACATGTCCAAAATCTGATGTGGCAGGGACACGAAGAAAAATGGACCCCGAATTTCTGGAATTACCGTTATGTACTGGTACCATGAATTAGTTCATGATGGCACCAATGAATTCTCTGAAAAGCAGTTGACACGTTTTGACACACAACTCCCCCTCCCCTGACCAATATGTGAAATGGTTCAAAAAGGGGCATACCAACAATTCTGACTCCTGTAGTATTGCCATAGACATCAATTACTCCCCAGGTGGGTCTGGTAGTGTCCACCCCATTGAAGAACTCAATGAAGTGTTCCTGGTTCACACTGAAATATACAGTTCCATCCTCACTGAGCACAAAGTTGAGTACATTGCCATGCAAAGCACAGCTTTCCCTGACCGCCTTAGCCCAGTTCCCAGGCCTTGCTGTGAGATCGGGACATGCATACTTGGGAATGCCATTGCTGCGTAATGATAGGGGGTCCTGTGATGTGTAACCAAAGCGAAGCACCCCACTCCAGCCTGCCGTATTTTGGATTAGCTCAAAATGTAGGATCTCCCCTACATGTATAGCCCGGTGGCTAAAGACGAGCGCATTGCAGAAGCTGCCCATGCGGGAAGCAGTCTTGCCATCACCAGACAGCACAATGTTCTTGCCGTGAACCTTGTGGAAGTGGAAGTTACTAAGGCTAGGCTGTTGGTTGGCCGGCTGCAGCGGAGAGTCTAGCGGTTGGATGGCATGATGAGGCCAGCTAACCCTACTCGCAGTGGGTGGTCCATGGCTTTGATTAGGCTTGGGCCGGTAACCACTTGAGGCACCTGAACATGTCCTCCGACGTTCTGTTGTTGTACCTGCTGGTCGAGATCTGATGGACGACTGCTGACCAGTACCTACATGTATACATATTGGAGATTGGACCTGCATAAGTCTATCGTACAAGTACAAGCAAACATACCACACTTGTTTCTGGGTTATCATGGTTATGGTGACAACCCATGTATTGAAAGATGGATGGACTATGTACATGTATGTAACTGTAGGCATAACCAGGGCAAAAAAATTGGAACAAACTGGACTCTGGCCACAAGGCAAACCTTGTCCTGCCTGAAAAAAATGAACACTGATGAAACACATTCTGAGAGTTTCCACTAAATTAAACTGTTCATGGCTCAGGAAATTGGAGCGATAAAATTCCATGAAATACACATTGTAATAAACAAAAAACCTTTCTAAACCAACACATTAACCCCTTGACGACGCGAATTTCTTCCCGAAAGCCGAATCCAAGAATTCCAGCCTCGCTTGGCCACGAAGGCCACCTGCCAAACCACAAATTCTTGGTTTGTGGCCCTGCTTGCTCTGCACGCTTTGAATTACACGGTGAAAAGGCTGATTGTTTGGTGGCATGCCTCTTTTCAAAGTGGGGACTATCGTGAAGCTGGTGATTATGATGCAAATTTGGTCTTTTCATTTCTGGGCTACACACAAAGACGAATTACCATATATACAAGAGCCAGGGTCTGCCTTATTTCACCTTGTTCACTCGAGCGTGGGTCGAGAATAATAGCTGAAAAGCGGGCTGAGGATCTGAATTTTTACGGCGTGTCTATCCCCCTCTCAGCGTGAAGGGGTTAACTGGCATATAACAAATTATTCAAGCAGCAAACTTGGGAACTACATGTACATGTACTGTAAATACCCAGGATATATGTATAACCCCACATTTTAGGGAATCATGGTGTAGCCTTTATCCGACACCCACTACATGTAAGTGTCGGTCATTCTGTTCAATTCTAGCAACTGCTACCTACATGTGTACCTGAGCCATGCCCCAGTAGAGACACAAGCCAAATAAATCAGGCTGGGGCAGTGATAGCCGAGACGAAAGAAGGAATGACACTTCTTATTCTTGGCTGGGACATGCTACCAGTACATGTACAATGTAATTCATGCCTGAGTGTACACAGTACAATTAAAGGAATGCATTTCACTGCAGAATAAGAACAGCTGCTTCATGTGTAGTAGAGAAGGAAGTGATGCACATTACACATACATGTACATGGTCATGTACCGATACATATAGATCATAAAACCATCAAATTACAGTTAAATTGGTTATACTACGCATGCTAGAGGACCCAAACATTAATGGGGACAAATAAGGGAAAATATCAATTTTCCATTTTCAATCGCATTTGGTTGTCATCATACATGTATTTGCTGATTGGGTGTCTGTTACGGTGTGTTCAAGCTCAAAGTAACCCAGAGAGCAACAGCAAACAGTGCAAAACAATTCATTAACTTGATAGACTTGTAATAATGAGTACACAGTAAATTCAAAGAGTGCACACTGAAAATGAAGCGCATCTGAGGTACATGTACCAGTAATTCAGAGCAGCTCTACATGTACATGTATGAGATTGGCTTTATCAGCACAGATAGACGCTTATTTGCACACGGCTATACCAAATTGGCTCACTAGATGACAATGACCATGATGACTCGTTATTCCATCATACTGTACATGTACATGTACATTGTACGTACCTGTACCATACATGTAGGATGCAATATCTACTGGTACTTTGTACCGGTATCATCACTTAGTAAAGTAATTTGCATAAATAATTATCCTTTTCAATGTGGATTTTCATTTTTAATTCAAAGCGTGTAAAAATAAATAAACTGTTTTGATCAAAATTTATTACTGATACATTTAACATGGGTTGCATATTTAGTTTTACTGTTCTTTTTTTATGAGAACAAAACAAGCTGTTCGAATACTGCAATATAAATTTTGCGCTTAATACCAAAGCTGTTACTCATGGCCATGGTTAGGTCCAATTTGATCATGGTTCAGTCCAAGTTGGCATGGGTCCAACTCGGCAGTGGGTACAGGTGCAGGCAACCGTGAGTCAAGTTGTTATGGTTCTGGGTCAATGAGAAACCGAAAAAAGGTCATGAAACAACTAGCATGTGGTGGATTCATAGCAAAAATATACATGTTGGCCTCCCGATCCATTTGGTATATAGCGGTAGACTGGTCTACACTGTACATGTAATTCCCATTTCCTATGGACCAGACTAGTACTAGTCAGCTAGTGAGGCATTTAAAAGACAGTAGCATGTCTAAACTTTTAACTCTGGCCGCTGTGATTTCTCAAAGTCCCCATGTCAGAATGTGGTTATTTATGGCATATTTGGGCACAATTGCAGAATATCCCACAACCTGCATGATAAACATTCCCAGTCAACCTCGTAACTGCATCATAGCCATCCTAGGTTAGTTGCTTTGGACCAGACTTTTCCAGTTGATAACCTCCATTCATTTTGTGTTGCTTTGGCCTCAGAAAAATCCCCATTCATTTTGCATTTAATTTGGACTTGATTTTATCAGCAACTCCAATAGCATAGCCAGTGATTTCAGGGGTGTAATTTCACGTGGCCGGGTACATGTATGCTGCAATACGTGTTTTTGTGATTCACAATACAGTGCACCACCAACAGGTAGTCATGGAGAGGCCTTCTTGCAGTGCATTATGGGATAGTCGACAGAGTCTCATTCACTAACTGCACTGCATGCAGCAATTTGAATTTTTTCTGAACGTTTGTTTACATGTACATGCATCTTGATTGATTTTGCTTATTGCAAATAAGTGTTGGGTAATCAAAATGACGGTTGTGTCATGCGGGGAAATCATCAATAAATCTAATATCCACAAATTACAAGTGCGCTTAATCGCAGCAGCATGTCTACCGTGTTGACTGCAACAAACTCTCGGTGGCATCTGTATTGTGAATAGCCTGTATAAAGAACCTCTGCCTATGTGTACATGTACTCCCAAATCAAAATTGGTCAACTCATACCCGGGTTAACTTGCAGTGTTGTAACAAGTCACTTGATTAGGTAAGTTGGGTCGCGTCATTTTAACATTATAACTCTAGTCAAGTCATTAGGTCAAGAAGTCAAGTCAGTCACTTTGTGTAGTCGAGTCGAGTCAATTATCGAGCTCGAGTCAATTTGAGTAACAAAGTTTGAACAAAAATACAATAAAAACACAACTACACGTGAGTCGTAATTCGGTACTTTTTTTTTTCATTTAGCATGTTTAGACATACTGAAACTAAATTAGGGCTCTTAATTTTCTTGAGACTTGAGTCTTATAAGCTTGCACATGTACTTGAGTCAAGTCTCCATGAAAGATTCCAGTTGAGTCACCATTTGGTCCCAGAGACTCAAGTCAAGTCAAGTCATTTTAATTAGAAAAAGATTTTCCTCTTTACTGTTTGAATTCAAATCTGTTGAAAAGTGTCTTTGTGGTGAACAATTTAAAAATACATGTATGTACATGTATTATTGCATTTGCATTGTACACAAGCAAACTTGTTTCTGCTGCCCTGAATAAATCATAACATGTACAGGTGCATGTAGGTGACACGTTCAAGTCCATCTCCAATCAATTTCCTTGTTCATCTGGTACAATGTACATGTATGCAGCTAAAGTCAGTTTCCTTGTATGGGTTGTTTAATTAATTTGAATAATTTTTTTAAATGTGATCGAATGTGGCTATGTTTGAGGTTAGTTTCTTTTGGGGGAAAGGGGGGTGTTCAGTCGATCAATGACAAGAATTGCTGTAATGTCATTTACGCTGCTGTCCATTCCACTTTCTTTCATTTGAAACATTTTCTTCATGTTCTTCCTGATTGCAGGTAGGCTCTTGCACAAATACCTGATACAGTGTCCAACAACAGGAAGAAAACAATTTATCATGATCAGAATTGTTCAGGATGTTGCAAGTTTTTTTCTAGTTTGGAACTGTGACAAACAGCATGCAGGCCAGAAATGCCATGTAACGGTTGTATTTTAATCATACAATAAGGCTAGCATAGGAGTTAACCAGTACAAGCACGTTTTCCTTCCTCCATGGTACAAGAGAGTTACCCCAGGAGAGTATGAGTAAACCAGGTATGATGCGCAGTTGTTTTAACCCCAGTATGCATGTAAATTGAACCAAAATCTCCCAAATTTGAAATTTTTCATCAAAGACTTGCATGACATGAGCATGCATACATACTGAATGATGAGGCCTACCATGCCTACTATAGAGTACAATTGGATAGATTAACGTTAACTTCAACATTCACATTTTGCCCATCTTACAACATGTACCTATAATTTACAAACCCATGAAACATGGAAAAAAATCCATAAAATTCTCTGGAACTATACTAGGCGTTATAGGCCCTACGCATAGGCATGATCACGGAGGAATACTAAAATGATGTAGGCCCTTAGTATTCTCATGGTCAGGATAACGTCACTAATTCTTGATTCTTCTCTGTGATTGGTCCATTGGTCACCATCCCATATGTTTCTTATATTTCACATTCGAAACTCAGAGGCAAAATACACGTAGTGTTGCGGTCTATGGGGAAAATCTGACTTATCAACTTAACACTTGACCTTTCCATCAAATATGCCTGAAATTTCACAGTTTAGGCCTATGTGCTATGAATATCTCCAACACTGTACCAAAAAAAAGCATGGTTTAAAAACAAGGAAAACAAGCAAACCCCTGTACAAAGTGAATGGAGAGTTGCTCCTTTGCCCAGACGTAAGTGTAATAAATGGAACGGTTTACAGTCACTTTGCCCCATTTCCACGTCACCCTTAACCACTTCACCCCTAACAACCACTTCCTCCCATCCCCACTTCACCCCATCTCCACGTCGCCCCATCTCCCAATCCCCATTTCGCCCCATTTCCACTTCGCCCCGATTTCACTTTACCATCTGTGCTTGATTGTGTTACAAGCCTCTTCAAAAAATGGTTGAGAGGGGAGTTCCACAAACAACATGAAGTTATTATAGAAAACTCTACGGCATTAAATTAATGTCGACTGTGTTGTCCATTATAGTGAATTAATACATATGGTTGGACTAGTATCGGGGTTATTTCTCATCACGTACATGAATAGACTGGTTGCCACACTCCATCCTGCATTCTCTTACATGGGTACGGCACGGCGGGAACCAGCACTTTGCTCACGTGATTTTACCACAGCAACAACGAAACACAAAGAAAACTTTTATTTTCTAACTTGCCAATAAAAATTTTAGGGTCTCGCTGAAAAATTTCGGTCCAGCGGTCGGGAAATCAGAAGCATTGTTTTGGCCTCTGAACATGCTGAAAGTTGGGTTTTGTCTGATTTTTATTTGGGTACTCAAACTGCAAACATTACATGTTTTTACTTGTTATTTGTTGTTGCATCTACATCATAGGCCTATGCCTATCTGTTACTAAAGAATAGAATGAACAATAATCAATGGGGTGAAGTGGAAATGGGGTGAAGTGAAAGTGGGGCGAAGTGAGCAACACCCGATGGAACACTCTCCAATAGCGAAAATTACATGCTACTATATACACGTACATGTAGGCCTACGTGACAAGTATTAACCATATTAATGTACATCATACATGTACCTCTATTGGTGCTGTTGGAATTCGACACCGATGTTGATGAAGTGCTCTGACCCATACTGTTCTGCTGAGCAAAAATCAAACTAATTCAACCAAAAAGGTGTTTGCCATGTTCACACTAGGCCTTGGCCTACTTCCTTTCATTCACCATGTTCTACAAAATCATAATACAGAAAACAACACGTTAAGGCACTGTATCTTATCACGGCGATGTACGTCCAAAATCAACTGACCACATACAGGTTGTCTGCATCTGTACAGTGTACATACATGCTACGGCTCGAAATAACGTGTGCTCTAAGGCCTGACGAAGTCGCTAGCTCGCATTAGGCTAGTGCATACGGCTGACTGAGAGCGCCACCATGCATCCTGATGGATGAGATCATCTCATTAACTTTAAATCACAAAAGCATAAATTATCATAATTTATGCACGTTTTGCAATTTATCATCACAGGGACTGATAACAATTATTTAGGAATGATTTTCCGAAGCCCTGCTTTAGCCCCATACCTGCAACATCACAGGAAACAGATCATCACGCTGAACAGGTTGAGGTAAGTAGCCAGCATAGTTTTTGCGAGTTAACCTTGAATAAAACCTGGTACACTGAGTTCTCCATACTAAAGACACTGTCGTTGCTGTACCTCGTGATTCGGGGCAAGATTTTGCTTGGTTACACCATAGACGAAGGACACAGAAGGAGTTACAACTCTGATACTTCAAAGTGGTCGATGAGCATTGCTGCCTAGTCAGACAAACAATAGTAAACTTTCCATAAATGTCCGATTACTGCCTGCCGTACAAGTGGGCTACTACTATCCTAGCAATATTTGGTGTGCTTTGTTTGCAATTACATGATCATCTGCTTGCCCTGAACAAGGTACTCAGTTACCGAAAGCTCGGCAATCATATATTTCAGAGCACTGGTTTAATCTTATATTCTTGTCGATATCAGTTTTCAAAGTCTTTGTATGAATTTGGCTAATACGGGCCCGCCACCAACAAATGTTGACTCGGACCAGCACTGGACAGTCAAGCTCACAACAAAGATGCGCTATTTCATCACAAGGAGTGTTCGTGAGATCTAATAAAATACCTTTTTGTCTAAATGCCGTAATAAAAATGATTCAAATAAAACACAGCATCTTATAAACAACTTGGCTATTTATTCTCAAAATAACTGCAGAAGAAAGAGTTCGACATGGGCAACGACTGCACATGAACACTTAGGGCACACTGCCCAATACACGCAATTGCGCAAGCATTAAATTTGATGTTGTCAGAACATACCAAGCACCAACGATGGCATGAATATTCAACTTATTATACTGCGGTACCCAACTTTTAAGGATGCAGATTACAAGTGAAAAATTGCGGCGATGATCATGCGTTACAAAGAGGGCTTATGGTTGTGAAACAGGTGGTGCCGCGCTCTGCCTATATGGACATAACGGGTATGCATGCCGGAGGGCGATGTCGTAGCCCGGGCAGTTCAAACTCCTTCTGGATCCTAATTCCTCCTTGGTTATAAAAAATATAAGACGCCTTGCAATTTCAATGGATAACGATACAAAGGAACCAGTAATTCCAGAGATGGTGGTCGCTATGCAAAAGCTCGTCCCGAATAAGGAGGTATAGCAAGAGTGCCTTTAGTCTGGGAAATTCAAATTGTTAGTTTATGTGCAATCAGATCACTCAGTGTACCAGATTTTATTCAAATTTAACTCGCAAAAGGCTTATTGCAATGCATTCTATATATGTTGCATGCAGGCATTGGCGCATGACCATGGGTTTGCCACTCACGCTTTTCGCACGGCACAGACAAACATGATGTACGCTGCCAGTTTCACGAAGGAAATCACTGACCAAGGTACCTCACATGAAAAACTTGCTTTCCAAACCCAAATACCAAGACGCCAAACCAGCTCTTGAGCCTATCATCGAGGAGACAAAGAAAAGAAACAAACTAATACGCTTAAAAGACAAAAGTAAACTGGCATCAGACAGCGATGACAAGAAAATCCGGTCTGCGCAAGCAACAGCCCCCCGCAAAACAGCGACAGATCCGTCAGTTGGCCGCATTACAATTAACTTCGGTAACCACCTCTGTGCATGAGTTCCTTGCTCCACTTACTTTTTTCGCGGCCCTAATTCGCAATTCAACAGATCTTCCGGGAAGCCCATGCAGCTACTAGCCAAAACAGACGTATCTAGCTGTTTCTGCCGCTGCGGGCGAACCGGGCATTGGACTGAGACGTTCGTGCCCACTCAGGCGGCGAGTTTCTGCTTCTTCAGCCCCAGCAGTATAAGCATAGTCTTGGTAAAGGACCACGAGCAAAATGCAAGTTCGTCATATTGATTACTCGCCACAGAAAGACACCCTGTGCACAAATTCTGTGAGACTGGTCGGAAAAATTCTGTTTTCTAAGTAAACGACTCCGTATATTTTCCCTCCTAGCTTGAACTTTTCTGGACATGTTTTTGCTTTTTGACTGCTACACTCTCAGAACGTTGGTTAAAAATTTTATCCAACTTGGTTAAAAATCTAACCAACCATGTATTTGCAGGTGAACAGCTCAACAGTTGGTTAAACCGTTAATCAACCGAGGTTGGTAAAACGTTAGCAAGTAGTTGGTTAAAAAATTAACCAACTGCTGGTTAATTTCAATTTATCCAACCCATTGGGTAGTTTTAATTGGGTAAAAAGTTACCATTGGTTGGTTACAACCAGATAGTTGGGCAAATGATTTTAACCAACTGGTAATTAACATCTTATCGCATATTGGCTATTTTTACACCTTTTTAATTGGGTATATTTAACTAACAGTTGGTCAACAAAGACAGTTGCAGGATGTAATGAATAAATAAAAATAAAAAACGGCAAAACGGTAAAAACGGAGAAATTCTAAAAATAAAACGTCCTGTGTGTTAGCCGTAATTTTTTTATTGTATACTGAATTATTAGCATTCAATAATTGATTCCGAACTGTTTAACACCTGAACACTTTCAACATTGTTATTTAACTTCTTTATGACGAATTGTGGGATTTACGTTTGATTAGCCTTAATTGGCTTAACTCTTAATTATTACAAAAATAATACACAAAATTAACATTGCAGTTTCCCTTGGTCGTAATTCTGGTCAAGGGCACGTGTTTTGTCATTGGCTGAATGCAGGTTGTGGCATGAGTTTGAGACCATCCTGTTGGGTAATGGTGCGTGTGCTCCTGAGGGAAGGCACTTTAAATTTGCCACTCATTGCTTCTCTCCACACAGGAGTAAATGGGTACGTAGGGTACGTAATGTGATGAAAGAAAGAAATGCAATGTTGAGAAAATTATGTCGAAATATGTGCCATTGTTTTAGCATAATTATTACAAAATGACCAACTTAACACAAATCCATTTATTCACCTATTATTCTATCTTGTTCAATTGATATGGTTTAAATTCAGAAATACCATAAATAAATTTGGCACAGCAAACCATACACGAAAAGATGACATAACCTGCGCATGTCAATTATAATAGAATACTTATTTCTTGTTACTTTAAAAACAATTTAGGAAATACCGAAATTCAACTTACAGCAGCATAGGCCTGTGCTGGTATAATGATTGATGGTATAATTAGGCTAAAACATTGCTTCAATCGCATTATATCCATATAAGAAATTCCCCAAATAAGATAAAAATCTAAATGAGCGCTTTTGTAATCAACTTTATAGGCCAAAAAAATGAAGCATTCTGTTTCTGGTCATCAGTTGGATTCAAGGGGGGGTCGACCATGTCACACAGATAAATTTTAACGATTTAAATAAGTATGTGGAATGCAATCGTTTTAATATCATAGAAATTACTTTGCAGTCAGCAATTTATTTATTGAACAAAAATGTTACATGGCATTTGTTGACTTACACGATGCTTAATACTCGGTGCCCATCGCACAAGAACATGGTTTTGTTTTGTTTTTTTTAATTTCAACATCTATCAATACACAAGCCTCCCAAATGGGTTTACCCCAGATCCATGTGTATTCACCAAAGTCATGAAACCTATTTTTCTGCCTTCAGAGGTCAGGAATTACAGTTTGTTGCATGCATTGTTGATTCTTGATTGTACATTCAATCATATGAGAAACGTTGCAAGAATGGCTAAGCTACATGTACAATGTACAACTGATGAACCAAACATACAGGGCTTGTAAACCACGATCAGGATTTTGGGATTTTCACCAAAAGTGTCAGTTGCATTTACAGCGAAATAAAGCTGAAAAGCAAAAAGCTCTCTCGAGCGGCCAGGCGAAATTGTGATGAGAGAAAAAAAAGAGTTAAAAAACAACATTCCAAGCCACCCTTCTCGTTTGCCTCAGATTGCAGGAAAAAGGCATTTTCATTTCGAATATTCAAGGTTGGGGTGGGGGTAGTGATACCCCATTTAAGTAAAAAGCTAGATCCGCTGCTGAACAGGTCAACTCTAAGAGAAGTGACTCAAGTTGTGGCTCAAGACAAAATAGTGTGTAAACCTGGGGTAATAACGAAGAAACTGATAATTTAGTTCAAGCCGTGAGTTTACTCTAAGCCTCAGGAAGATTCTAAAACAGGTAGTTTTCAATACCTGTCACAAGTCAGTGATATTTTACGCCAAGTGTTTGATTAATTTAAAGACACAAACTGTATGTTGCCAAGTTGGCCAAATTTCCTTATATGCCCTTTTATGCAAAGTAAGGTGGGGTCCTGTATGGTTCACACCTGCATGGGTACACACCAGGCATGGGGACCTGAATAGTGTTTTATAGTGCCTGCTCACTGAGGCGTTGTCCAGCAGTGATAGCCTAAAATACTGGGGTGTGGTTCTGGGGGAGAGACACTGACAGGCCTGTGGTGCGATAGCACAAGTTTGAGCGATAGCTCTCAAGCCAGAATTATATTAAGTTTCGACCTTGTCAATGTGGATTGAAAATCCAGTGTTGGCGGTAGCCATAAGTGGGGAGAGTGATTTGCTGCCCCAAATTCTCAGGAGAAAAGTTTAGAGGAAGGGCAAGCTGTGACAATTTTCAGTGTGATATAAGACCTCAGGAGCCAGTATATACTGTAAGTGTTCTTTTT